AAAAAAAAAAAAAAAAAAAAAAAAAAAAAAAAAAAAAAAAAACCCTCCTCGTCTCGAGAAAATTGGGGAGGAGGGGAGATATGGCCTGGGAAAAAAAGGTGCATCGTTCCTGTTTTCCCATTTTTTTCCTTTCCCGGTTCTCACTCTCGTCTCCGCTCTCTTTTCTTATGTATATATACCTGTATTTTCTCGCCGTCCCGAGCGCGACGCAAGGTAAATAAAAAAGGCCGTCGCGGATGGGGATATTTGAGTGGCCTGCGAAGAAGACGGGGGTGATAACAAGCGCGAATTTTCAGTCGGGGATGAGATGGTGCTTTTAATCTCGGAGCCACTTAATTTTCCTTGGCACTTTTTACCTCGCCCCCCGTCCAAACAAACGGCGGACTCCTTCGCCGACTGCTGGATTGAATTTTGCTTGCAATCGACTTTTTTTTTTTTTTTTTTCTTGACTCCAAATGAAATGCGGCATTGCAGATGATCAACCGAGGGAGAAAAAAAAAAGATACATCATTGCACTCGTGTAACTGGGAATCCATTATTGTTACAGGCACTTTTATCCGTCAAGTGTTTTTCCAATGCGACGCCCCGTGCGAGAAACCGAAGCCACGGCTATTTTCATCCCGGGATTTTGTTCGGAAAACACAAGAGGTGGCTGAACCAATATATACGCGGTCGTTAACTATACGTACAAGTTTGTGTTGTTAAATGTGCCGTGAGCCAATTATCCGAAAATCCATAAATCGAAAAAGCAAAAATTTCCACTTTGGCTCCAGTTCCTGTACGTTTTTCCATGCCGAGGCGAGCTGTACACAAAGTAGTGTACATATCTCCCGTGGCCCCGAACAAACAGACGGGGAGTGCGCGCACACGGATAAGTAAGAGAAACCGTGCGAGCCGGGGCCAAAAGAAGAGGAAAAAAAAAAAAAAAGAAGCAGGAAGAGTGTAAAATATGGACCATCGGAAGGACGGATGGGTCGATCAGAGAGGGAGCGAAGAAAAAAAAAGGGCACCCGCTCCCTCTGTCTGGGCTTTAATCAGGATCAGCCCCCGGAGCCCTCGACCCCTCTCTACCCTTTGCCGGTCGTGTACCTCTCTCCCTTTTTTTTTTTTTTTGTTTCCGCGCTTCGAGACAATGCCCTTAATAACGAGCGCAATGTGCTTCCCTGATTAAGCTGCTTTTCCTCCCTTTTCACGCTACCTTCGACGAATATCATCCCCCTGTGCGCACCGCCCGCGACGAGGCGCCGATAAATGCGTGCACGTATCTGGAAAATGGATTTCGAGCTGCGCGTGTACACAGACCTACGCGAGAGTTTTCCAATCGAAGGGAGATGTAGAGATGGTAGAAACGGTGAAAGGACTCCTCGCTGTTGGCAATCTCGTTACGACCAGCAGGTGGGATTTTCAAGGTGCACTGGATTGCAGTTCGAACTTCATTTTAAACAGGTTTTTTGCACGTGGATTCAAACTTCGGGGCAATTATTTCATTAAATTCTTCGTCCCTCGAATAAAATGCTTCGTTTTGGTGGAAAATTCTATATTATCCGTCGTTACTAGTAAAAGTTTTTTTTTTTTAGCAGTACAGTGCAGTACGTATAATACTTTGGATATTACTGTTTTTTTTTTTTTTTT